CAGCTTTGTTGTTGATTTGTCAGGCTTTATCACTGCGTGATGAGGTAAGTAATGGATATGTCTATTCTTTTCAGAGGTCTCAACTTTTTCTATAATTCCCTTTTCAAGCTGATCTTGAATAACAGAATCATATTTCTGTAATACATCTGGGTTATCTTTGAACCTTTTCACTAATGACTTAAGTCGTCCAAAAGCTAGAGGACGATTTTCTGGAACTTCATAATTGTCGCCTCTCCACGGCCACTTGACATAATATCTGTTATCTTTGAACACCAGACTTTCTTTGAACTCATCTATCGCTTGATCATCCTCAGTTCTTCCATTTGTGCTATCTTTCAATCCTATTGTTTCTATATTCCAAAAGTCTTCTATGTCAGGTAATTTTGGAACACATGTGTCAACTGTTGTAAACACTTGTGTCTTAGTTATGTTATTGCCATATGATAATATGAGCATATTGGCATCAGTAACGCTGTCATCGATTTCACTTGTTCTTCCTGAAAGAATCCAACCAAGTTTTGATGACAAGAGGTATAAGCCTGGCTGAATTTCTATTTTATGTCCTAACACTATATCTAAGTAATAATCATTTCCCAACAGCAAATCAATAGAATCTGTGTATTCTTCAGTCGGTATATCATCCGCTAGAGTAAGATTCTTGATTAACGATCTGAACTCTCCGTTATTAGATATTGACACTGGTTTTCTTTGAATGCTTCCTGTAATTGTTGGAACAATATTTGCTGTTATAGCGAAATTCTGTCCATCCTTTAATTGAATATTCAATTGCGTAGACATGGTTCTAATCACTTTAGGTTTGTCACTTCCAAATGTAACTAGACGAATCTCTTGCCTACTATTTTTCTTGAGATTCAAAGATTTAGCCAGTCTCTCGGTTATGTATGTTCTTTGCGACCCTGAATCTAATAAGATTCTTACGTTCTCTTTATTTTGACCATCTGGATCACAAATCTCAGTGCGCGATGTTTGCATCATCACTATTTCATTAGAAGATAACAAAGCACTTTCAATACAAGCTTTATCATCCGTAGAATTTCTAAGAATTTCCTTTGGTTTAGCTCTATCTTCAGACACACATGCTACTTCTTCTAACAAATTTACACTTTCTTGCAGAGATGCCTTTCTAAATTTTTCAGGGCATAAGCTTCTGTGGTGTACATTTGATTTATTGCAATATACACAAACACGTATACTTTTACAGTCAGGAGACATGTGTCCTTCTCTTAAGCATTTGTAACAGCATCCCTTTATTTGAGTTTTTCTTTCGTCGATTGTTTTAAACTTCGGACATTCGTCACTCCAATGATTTTTACTACAGAATCTACATATTCTCTTATGTTGTTGTTGTTTTTGATGATGTGTTAGAGGCGTATGTCCTTTCTTGTCATATGCAGTCAGAGCTCCGGTAGTGGTACTTGTTGTTGAATTACCCCTGTAGCTCTTAAAAGTATTTGTTGATCTTTGAAACTGTGGATTAACTCTTCTATCAGGTACAAAATTAGCACTGACTGGTTTCGGTCTGTCTGACTTTTCTCTGGATACAATATACTGTCTGAGAAACTCACGAAGCTTGGTTATCGTCCACTTATTGTCTGCACCCTTTTGTACTTCAAGATGCATAAGAACTTCACTTGGTAGTTTGCTCCGAATAATTGATACGAACACTTGTTGCTCCAAACTCTCATGCATAACCTCCAAACTTCTCAAGTGCTTTTGTATTTTGTCATAAAAGAATCGCAAACTTTCAGTTGTATCTTTAGGGGATGCAACATTCACCAGCCCCTTGTAATGCAAATCTATAATGTCTTGTTTATCTCCAAATCTTTCCTTTAGAATTGTTATGGCAATACCGTAGTTTTCATTAGATAATGTCAGTCCAGCGATAGCACCTCTAGCTTCTCCAACCAGCTTTCCCTTTAAATAGTTGAACTTGTCAACTGGCGACAGATTGTCATTTTCATGTACAGCACTAGAGAAAGAGTCCCAAAATTCCATCCATTGCAGTTTATTTCCATTAAAGGAAACTATGTCTAACTTTGGCAATTTGACAGTATTCTCACTCTTAATTTTGAGACTGTGTTGCTTGTCAAAGAATTTCTGTTGCATTTTCATTTGCTCTTCTGCCCGTTCTTGCTGGTGTTCAAAGAAGGCTTGTTGAAGTTTCATCTGAACTTCACACATTTTTTGTAAAGCTGATCCTTCTTCGTCCGACTCCTCTTTTATAATATTCTCTGCTATTTTGCTTTTCAGGTCGGTCTGTACATTTTTCAGTTTAAAGGCTATCGACAAAGCCCTATCAATCAAGACCGAATCAATTTCAATCATCTCCTGAATAAATTCACTATCTGAATCACCAATTGCACGCGCTACCTTTTCTGACTGAACAGTAAGCTTATCTATATAAATGTCAATCTTAAGTTTACTTTCATTGACAGAATGCTCAAGCTGCTTGTATTCTTCTGGGCTTATGCTCTCAATACTTGTTTCTAATAAATTATCTCCAGTCCGTAATTCCTTCTCAAGGAAATTAAAGTAGCGTGTGCGCACGCCTTTTAGATATGGTAAGTCACTCATGATTACTATATAGATATTTATAAACACACAAAAAATCACAGTAAAATTATTCAAAATTTACCTCAGTGATTCCTTGAATTTATTCAACACTTTTTTTAGTTCACTTTTATATTCCTTTGAGAAACACTTTATTGATTCTGGTTGCCACTTCGCCTTCAATTTGTTTTCACGCACTAACACATTTCAGGATACCACACATCACTATTTTCTTTGATTGAATCGAGAATCCTTTCAATCCAACTGTAAGATATTTGTTTTCGCATCTCACAGAGACATCATATATACGTTGTGAAGAAATTCTATTTTGTGGAAAATCTTCAAATTCTATTCTCGATTCCCGGGTTCCGGCGCCAAATTCAATGTAGCAGATTTTCTAAACTTTTTCCTTTTAATTTCCTTTTAACTTTTACTACATTGAAGACAACAAAATTCACTTTTAAATTCAGATTTTATTTTCACTTTTACATCCAACTATACTTTTTAATCACCTTTTAACAACCTTTTTTAACACTTCTACACTTCACTTCTTTTACACTTTTTACACTACTTTGCTTCTACATTTATACGCTCCTACTAAAATAAAGATTGTAATTCACTTATATAGTGTTTTCTTCCCGCCAATTTAAAGAGTCATGAATATCATGATATGGAGTAACTCATAAGTGAAATAAATTCCCGCCAATACCAAAATACACAATTCATAAGTTTTGGAGTAAAAAGAAATATAATATTTTCCCGCCAAATACAAACATACACAATTCATAACCTTTGGAGTAAAAGAAATATAATATTTTCCCGCCAAATACAAACATACACAATTCATAACTTTTGGAGTAAAAGAAATATAATATTTTCCCGCCAAATACAAACAGACATAATTCTCATGATTAGGAGTAAAACAAAATCGTGTTATTCACGACATCTATCCGGTCAGCTGATATATTTTAGAATATTGAAATTAACAATTATTTAATAAGAAAGTATTTAAAGTAAAGAAAGAATGACGGCCGTACTTGCAAGCAGACACTGTTTTCTTACATACTCGTACATAATCATAACATCCCATGTTATGTGCTTATATGGCAGCACTAACCGTGGTTGAAACATGATTTATTAAATGCACATTATGCCCATGAAATCCATATTCTGATATTCTTTAGAAATTTCAAATATGTGTTCAAAAATATTCTAATAATGGATTTAACTAAAGAAAGTCTGAACGTGCAGTAATGTGTCATAACGTTTAAAAAAATGAATCAAAGTAGCATTTGGACTTCCATACTAATACTAAATCACTTTAATTGATATACGTGTAATTGCCAAATAAAGCAAAATATAGTTAATCTATATTGCAAAAGTATATTTTATTAGACATTTTAACCAGATATAAAACTAATATTTAGATAACTTAAAATGATTTCTGAGGCACAATGGGCTGTTTAAATATAGGCAAGATATTGATAAGGATCCGGGTACGACACCGTTTGCACCCTGGTGTTTTCTCTGAGAATATAAAGTCCAAAGCATGACAATAAGATGATGACAGTACGACAATACGATGGCGAAGTGCAACAGTAAGATGACAACAGTACGACAACATGACGATGACAGTACGATTGCGAAGCGCGCATTGCTGTTTTGTAACCATCACAATGTCGTGCTTCGCTATCGTACTGTCGTATTATCATCAACGTTCGTTCTGTCGTACTGTCATCATTGTACTGGCGCTCTTCGCCATTGTATTGTCATACTGTAAGAGATAGGGCATAAATCAGAATTAACCTCTGACAAATGTTACTGAATTTGCATGCGTTATATAAGTGTTACTTAGTGTTTCCCTTGTAACAAATGGCAAGTTTTTCGTTAAATTGCGCCCATTTTGTACTCTACGTGCGTGTACTGTAACCATTGTACTGTCGTAATTCGCGCTTTGTAATCAGAGAACACGTTATGGCCCCTAACGCAACACCGTTGCCCTAACGCTTTCAAAACTTGACACACAAACACAATTCGTCAAATTATGACATTTATAATGAAACAAAGCTGGTTTAATGATAACTTTAACGGTATGCTGTAACACAACGTTTACATATCTGGTCTTTAAATACGACACAGATATAAAACCATTTTGTAGGTCAAAACAAAAACAGATTTTATGTGTATATGCATTACGGTTTTTAAGTTGTCAGTGTATTGATGTGTTAAAGATCCAATCCTCAAAATGCTACTTTCATTACTTGGTTATGGTATTAAAGATTTAATTTCATAACCTTTTTTTGTTTCCTTGTTGCTTTTGCAGCCATTTGTATATGTTCATTTTTTCAGTTTACTTTTGATATTTATTTTGATTACATATTGCATGTACTTATAAAACAATAAAAAAATAGAAATTGATAAAGACATACGATATTGACAAATCCAGTGATGGTTGTATATCAGACCTGGATGCCCATCTTGCTTTGCTTGATTAGCTTCTCTTTCATCACAAACTGAATCATCCCAGTATCCAGATGGTTCAAGTAGCACACAATTCTCCTGGGCATGGTTCGCATAATTATCTTTTCTATTAGGATCAAAGTTTGCGTATGATAATGGTGTATCTGGATAAATAGAGCAAATGAATTGTATAAATATATTAAGAATTACAATTGTAGTCTCTTATATTATACTAAATATGATAAAAACAAAAATTAATAATTCCTCTGATTAAAATGTATCTTTTGCATATTAAATGAAAGCAAATGCCCGTAAATTGCAATTTTATAGGCCAAACAATGATTCAGACTGTTTATGAAAAGAAAATTTTTCAAATGTATTTTAGACGTTTAACAAGCAATAAAATGTTTAAAAAATACTACATACCAGATTCCCAATGGTCAAAACTTTCCTCTTTATCGACATCTTGAAGGCCAATCCATACAGGATGAGTATAACCTTCGTCAGCCAAGATTTTTGCAATGAATGCCTGTATATCCGCCGTATATATCTCAATCAACAGACCATTTAAACCAGTTTCCCGATCACGACAGTACTGATTTGCATCATACCAATCCTGCAGTAAAATTTAAAAAAAAGAGAAGACAAATCGTATACTGATGTAGATTTTTTAACATGAACTTACTATACATGTATTATATGTTATATAAAAAGGCCTCCAACATTTCTGAAGCTTACTTTTTATCATTAGCACATCAATTGAGAATTTTCTCAAGCAGTATTTTGAAGTTTTTGCAAGTAATTTATAAATCAAATTAACGCAATATCCTTTACAGTGGCATGGCTTATGTTTATGTATTCTCAAAAACGTATTTCATTTTTTCAGTAGACTTGTTTTATCATTAAACTAGATCACAGATGTAACATTATCTTCAGAAAGTGTTATTTGTACTTACACCATACTTGGAGACAAGCTCGTAACAGTATTGTTTGTACTGTCTTATGTAGCCATCATCTGTGGTATCCCTTACAATCCTAGGACAAAGCTGTACATTTCCTTGTGTAAGAATAAAAAAGAAACGAACATTTTAGTAACATTATATTACCTACTAGGTTCACAATAATTAAAACGATTAAAAAGATATCTACATATAGGCCAGACATGTATTTAGTAAGCTTTGAAATATGATATGGAATTATTTCCTTAAAATTCATAGTATGTGATGTCAAACAGGTGACCCGTTAAATGGTAAATAGTAATTACGCTTATATAAGCAGGGGTATGACAAATAACTTTTTAGTTTCAAATCAAATCGATATAACGATCACAAAATATTCAACTGACAACATGCGTTTTTAACAATTAGAACATTTTGTGTTAGGTACGGATTAATATAACAAATATCCATGCAGTGCGAAGGTGTAAACTTCCTAAAAAAAGGTTTGGAAAATGATGTCCTCTTCGGGAGTATATTACTTGCATTTATTAAAATAACAAAATTGTGTATTGTGTAGCTCTAAAAATGAAACTGAACGACAGTTACTAAACGGGTGATTAAATGCATCGATTCTAAATATACGGTTACTAAATGATCAGTCGTGCACACGCGCCATTCTTGGATGTTTTTTATTTGTGACTAAGTGTGCCACGTAACAAATACACATGTATTGGTTTGCTTTTAAAATGTACCAAATATAACTACTAACAGGAATTGTGTTTTATGGCGAAATAACAAATGCATAGTAGTCAAATGATTTTACGTTTTCATTTTATAAACAAACAAATGCAGTTTCATGTTCTGTATGAATACGATCTAAAGTTAGAACAGATTTTAATTAACTAGGGCACCATGGTGGGTTTTTTTTCAATAATGACCACTGGAACACTATTAAATATTAGATTTGGACCGTACGAGTATTTGTCAAATTCTACAACTTAAAACTGTGTTCATTACATAATGACATTTATCATACAAAAAATAAATAACGAAATCGAAGTGAACGTGTTAAGTGCCAAAATATGATATAAATCATGTGTTAACGATATATTACACACCGGTCATATTTGATAGCATCGGGGCTATTGTGGATGGTAAAGGTGTTTTTGTTGTTGTTGTTGTTGTTGTTGTTGTTGTTTGGGAACCCGTTGTTGCTGTAAGAATATAAAAATAAGTGTTTCTTATTAGAACATCCTTGATTCACTTTGTAATTATAACAGTAAATTTGTCGTTAAAACTAAAATCATTTTGCCAAATAGTGTTTTTCAATCAAGTACATAATGAATTATTTTAAAATCTGTATTTTCAGAGAATTTGAAAACAGCAAAGCTAAATATGAATTTACATTTTTTCTTCTTCTTTCTTTTTTGACTGAATTGTGTGTTTTGATACATTGTTAGATTTGATCTATTTTTTATAAACACCTTGTACATTTGCCTTGTACATTATATCAGAAACAAAAAATTAACAACATAACTTTAAAGGCCAATTATGCCCCAGAAATGCTTTAATTTCTATTTCGTAAAACCTTTTATTTTTGAAGTCCTAATTTCAAAAAGTAACTCATTGGTCAATCACCAAAAACATCTTTTGCTCTATTGCTTTTTGGCAATAAGGAAAAGTACTGTACTGATTAAGTATTTTGTATAGAGGTCAAAATACACATTTTGCTACATTTATTACAAATAATTTCATATTTAGCACTTTTCACTTTCTTTAGACAAAATTCAACTAACATGCTCTAAAACCGTTATTCAAAAGTTATAAAACTCTTACTTTCCTTTTCTATAGAATGAAAAAAATAAATTGTTTCTGACGCATAATGCGCATTTAAAAACATTGTGTTCTGTAAAATCGAAAAGGAAAGCAAAAAGTGATTTTTTCTTAAATGATTTCATTTAGTAAATTTATGACAAGTAAATAATCATTTGAAACCTTTCATGCTCTCTGTGATCGGAAATCTGATAAAAGCTAATTACTCATTAAGGATTGGACTGACAGTTTCACAAAATGAAATATATACCCATAGCTCTTAGATTGACGGGAATGTGAATGACATGGCAATATAAGCCTGAATGCAAATTTGTTTGAGTAATGAAAACATTTTGTTCTATTAGAGTAGTGACCCAATCAAGAAACTTGTCTGAAATTGTTTTACCTTAATTATCCTTATAATACGATATCATCTCCAATCTGCGCTAAGTACATGATTCATAAACCTTTTTAAAAGGTAAAACCAGTCAATGCTATGTGCAAAATACTAGTATAGACAAAAAAGATAAGATGTGTTTCCAATGACTTAGTCCAGTGAAAGCAATTGACTCCCAGGGCTAGTCCAATTTTGACCTTGGGGTCAAGATTAATATTTTTCTTGTAGAACCCTACAAATTGATGCTACATGCAAACAAATCTTAAGTTTGGGATTTGTAGATGCACAAAATGAAACTTTAATGTTTTCCAATAATCAAGTGACATCGCGGCGGTCTACCTCTGACCCAGGAAGCATGATTTAGCTACTTGCTAAAATTCTTTGATCTTGGCACTGTAGTTTGACAAAACAATACTATATCAACTAAGTAACCCCGGAAGCGGGACCAGCATTGACCCAAGGGACACGATTAATGCCCGTTTTGTAGAGGCTAACAAGGCAATGATTTATGTCAAATATCTAACCTGTTGACATTATAGGACTACATGTGTTTTCCTACACAGAAATAAATAATACCAGTTATATTGTGGTAGTATCAATAATGTTACATGCAAAATATCTAAGCTATGGGCATCCTTGTTTCACAATAATCCTCAGATATGGGTTTCCTTTATAAGTATATATCAATCAAGTGACCTCTGCAATGGGGCCACTATTGAACCAAGGGACATGGTTCATATCAGTTTTGTTATGGTCAATAAGATAATGCAACATGCTAAATATCTAAGCTCTCGACATTATCATTATAGTTTCACACAATGAAAGTTAAATGTGTTTTCCTATATAAGTCTACATATATCAATATAAATCAAGTAATCTCCTGTGTTGATGGCAGGATGTCCTGCACACTGTCTCATTATTAAAACAATTACTGCTTTGAGGTTTTAATTTCTTTCTATCCATTCAACATATACAAAGCGGATGTCATAAAAAATGAATAATTGTGACATTAAGCTTGACTTGCGAAATGGCAAACCTTACATTGTCTTATGATGGTTAATATTTCTGCCAAGTTGCTTCAGTTTTCTTCCACCAGTTCAAAATATACAGACCGGTCACAAAACAGCTAACAGAGGGACGGACGATGTGGTGCATAACATTATACGATCTAAAATGAGTTAGTTAGGACAAATATGTACATACGGTATTGACATATATATGAATGTCTATATGGTAACTGATGGCCTCCATGAGCTACTGCAATGGAATCGTCCTCGGTACAGATAGAATCATCCCAAAAACCGGAGGGTTCTAATAACACACAATCTTCTTTATCATGAGGAGCATAATTATCCTTTCTGTTAGGGTCGAAGTTTTGATACTGTAACACCGTATCTGTAATTTGTTATATGTGTAATATTATATTACATCATGAAATAATAAAATATTTTAGGTTTGTGTTCTTTAAGACAAAGTCTTGCTTTTTAATGTGTTTTTCGTGAAATAACGTACATTTTATCACTGTCAGTATGAAAATACATTTATGTAACCGTCATTTGTCGTAGCGCTTCGGTTTGGCCATATGTGTATATACCATGGTAAACTACAGCACTCTAAACTGTGGATCATATATTATAAAATTTCTAAACAAAGGGCGTGTTATTATATTACTCTAATTTACATTGTAAGAGGTACACAAAGTGTTTATTTGTCCTAAAAATGAGCTGTTCAGATGATATGAAATAAGAATATTTCAATTAAACCTGTTTCCCAATGATCGAAAGATTCTTCTGTATCTACATCTTGTAATCCAATCCATACAGGGTGGTTGTAGTTTTCTTCTTGGAGAAACTGTACTATGTATTGTTGTATATCAGCGGTATATATCTCAGTAAAGTACCGCCAACATTATCACCGTGTCTGACATTACAATCTTGTAATGCGTCATACCAGTCCTGTAGTCATATATGATAATTTTATTCATCAAAGAGGTCTGGGTTTCGAGGAGTGCATTAATAAGTAGCAACCGATAATTTTGAAACAATTTTTTATTTTGTTTTATTGTATGTTTTATATAATATCATTTTTCATTTTATGTAGTTATTAAACAAGTACGTGTTCTGCCGTGAAAATTTTTGTGTTGACCGTCACAAACCAAATGAAAGAAATTTGTTATGACAACGATTTACTCTTAAGAAAAAGAAAAATGTGCCGTGCTAGTAAGTAAAAACTGTAGTAAAAACGACCACGTTATAATTTATTGCGTACTCTGTCATGTCATCATAATGACTTATTATGAACAACAGGTCATATTATTTTCAGAACTGTTGAGTAAGTTAAATATCTTCATACAGTTTTTCAAGCATTAATTTATTTTTCAAAAATCATAAGGTGAGAACAATTAACTTAAGAGTATAAATAAATCATTTGACGCACCAAATGCGTTACTCAGTTGCGTTATTGCTCTTCGATTGAGGGTGGTGATTAATAAGTAGAACTCGATAATTTTTCTATCAATTCAAGTTTTATTTTGTTTTGTTGTATGTTTTTATTATAATTATTCTTTTTCATTTTAGTGTAGTGTAAACCTTTGTAAGTTAAGTGATTACTGCCGCTCAGACAACACTCACATGTTTGGTCTGATTGAAAACCTACACCCAAAGGGAAAAATGGAAAGTCAAAATACTTGTTATGACAACGTTACTCATTTAGGAATGAAAACTTGCCCAAGAAAGGCATCGCCGCATGACTGATGTACGTTGTAAAGCTGTCAGTAGCGGCCAGTTATAACCTTATTGCCCTACTCTGTCATGCATCATCCTCTTATTAGCACAAGTCCAGAGTTGCATCATTGACTTTTTCGTGAGTGCAACTTTGAGTAGTTAAATGACCCTTCATACAGTTCAAAGGCATAATTATACTTTTTCAAAGAATCGAAGGTGAGCCAAATGCATTAAATTAAAAAGGAGTGTATAAAAGATAAAATATTGAAACAGTCTACCAACATGTGAATTCAACCTCGAGTTCTAAGATCTTATTGAACCCTCTTCGTAGAAGAAAAGGAGCAATGTGTATGTATTCTCTTAAAACTAACCTCATAACGTCCTGAAACAATTTCATAACAAAAGGTCTTGTATTGACGAATCCATCGCCCATCCGTTGCTGTTGTCAGAGCTGGTGGACATAAACTAATGTTGCTTGAATCTAAAATGAAAATCATTTTGTAATACGTTTACTCATCAAGATACCTTTCTAGATTGATGCTTATTAGAAAGTAAAAATATTGAATGATCATATAGATATGCTCAATTTCAGGTGGAAAAAATGTGCATGAAATGCATGTAATTCGTGCTGAATTAGGAAGAAGAAATGTAAAGATAACATAAAACGGTTTTCATGAATTGTTCATGCACATTTTCACCTTATATATCTTGGAGCGCGAGGAAAGTGCAAAGGTAACGCCGGATAATATATGTATATAATGTATATCATATAATATGTAAAGCTAAAGCTATAGCCAAAAATTGCAACTCGGTAAGTAAATAGGCAAATATATATCAAAGAACTTCAAATTAAGAGGTTTCTCAAATTTCACTGTAATAACATAATTATGTCTTACCAGCCAAATATATTTTTGGGTTAACAGTCAATTAACAGTAAATTTAATTGAATTTCGTTTGTTTCAATTTGGTAAACTGTCAGATACATAGGTCGATCAAGATAATATATTACTCGTTTCTGCTAGAGAATTTTGCAAATTCGGTTAACTATTTAATTAGTCCAACATTATTGTTTAAAACTCAAGTGACATAATATACACGGTGAATATTGCATAAAGTAACTATACATGCATAATTACTCTTTGTAAACTTAAAATATAATAAAATGTACCTTTCGTAGAAAAAAATCTGTATTGGTACGATGAACTGGTCTTTGCCGCGGGATTAAGGATTATTAAATAAAAACCTCGCGATTATAAAATTCTATACCTACCTGGTATTTGTGCCAAATTGAAATTTGATTTTGCTGTGGTTTGTCTCGTTGTTGTTGATGTTGTAGGCATATTTGTTGTAGAAAGTCTGGTTAAATAAGAAGAGGGCGGCAATGTTAAACCTGCAGTTGCTGAAGACAATTTAATAAAAGTTGATGTTGTAGTTGTTGTCTTTGGTGTTGTTGTCGTATCTGTTGATGTTGTAGCTGTACTTACTTTTGATGTCGTTGTCGTTTTTGTCGTTGTTGCAGTTGTTGGTGGTGTTGTTGTTACTGCTACTGGTGTTGTTGTTGCTGTTGTTGTTGTTGTTGTTGTTGTTACTGTCGTTGCTTCAGATACAATTGGTCTAAATGAGGAAGTGTTATTTTGGCCAGGCAGTGCTGTGACTTTATAAGGAAAACAAACAATAATGCGAACATGAGGTAATTCTATTATGCAGAGTAAATTTCAGACAGATTATGAATGACAGATTATGTATCCAGATTAATCAAAGTTTCTTTCTTTTCTTTTTTTATTTTTGCATGGATCTACAGTCTTACATGTGATAAAGACCACCTGCGAAACAAGATCAACAAAAACACCTAGTTGACAAACAACCATTGATTAAACAAATCTAAATTACATCCAAATAAAGATTGATTATCTGTGAAGACGATGATCAGTCTCTCCTTTGATTGGTCTTTGTTTAATTATTGGATTGTATCTATTTCCTTACAAAATGGTTTATATCTTTGAAAATATTGACATAAATAACTACTTATTATCGAGAACACAGCTTATTTATCAGTCTATTATTTTGTTGTTGCTTTTATTGCTGTGGTTTGTAAAAGCAGAAATTTTATCTAAAAATTATTTCCGTTTTAGCAATACATATTATAAAGGTTGTAAATAGTAAAATGATGACCTTTTACCCCCGAGACAAATGTTTTACCTTTGTCTTCTGAAGGTATGTTGCCTTGACAAACTTGAGAGAGGACACTGCTACTTTTCTCAACAAATGCAATCTGTAACAGAACATATTCATTGTAAGCAATTACACATGAAATAAATTCATGTTAACAGTTACATGTTGTGATACATCGGGTCAGTAGCAAACATGGAACTGATTATCTATAACAATGATTGCCTTTTCCCTCAGCATTTAGCAAAGACAAACTGTACTTATCGACAATTCTGGAATCCATGTTGAATTTTTAGTTTTGCTGAATATCAAATTTTGGTAGCATAAAGTCTATAATAGGTCAGTCTGTGGAGTTAAAAACACATAATTATAGAATAATAGTTGTAGTCGTCTTCAAGATCTTAGTTATTCTAGAATTTCAATAAAATGACCAAGAAAAAGGAAAAGAAATAAAGAATGATCTTAGAAAAAATATCTTTTCTTGGTCGTCTAGAAAACTCGCGATGAATTTTGATGATAAACAAATCATTTTTGCAAGAAGGCAACTAAAATAATTGACACAGGTCCAATAACTCTCAATTCCCTTTTTTACTTTACAGAGTAATGCTCTTTTTCGTTCTGTCAAGCACTGAGAATAACCGAAAGTGTTTTCTTTATTTCTTTATTTCGTCATGTTACTACAAAAAATGTTAAATGTAGTAGTGCTGTTTTGAGCTTAACTGAATAGATATCAAATTACAAGGTTGACCGTCATTAAATAAAACGAATAAGAGAAAAAAACATAAATAAACTTATGTAGTATGCAAACTTAGCTGTCGTTCCATCTTAAACTATTATGCGCTCTGAAAAATATACCAAATATTGTTTATTATATTATATAGCAGACACGAAGACGTTTCCGTTATTAGATAATAATATCATGAACCATGACTTACTTTGTGTTCATTCATTATAACGTTAAATCCATCCGTCGCATAGTTCACCTTGGCAACAGGCTTACAGTCAAACTCGTACATGTAGCCAACAGGGGTTGACGTGGTATCCATTACACTAAATATCGGAAGCTCAACTTGATAATTACACAAACACGAGTAGTCTGCTCGTGACAATCGTGCAAGACAGAAAAACAACACAACCCAATGCATCGAAGGTGGGTTAGCAAACCTGAAATCAATAGTTGTTATAGTTATACTTGCATATCTATTCTCGTTTAATGTTTCCATTAGAATGGATATAGAAAGAAATCTTTTAAAGTTTGACTTTTCGACAGATATTTGTATCAAATTATTCTCGCAATAAATTCATTCGGTTTCATCATCTATACTCGTACTTTATAGTAATTATTTTGATATGTTTTGCATTGTTTGTATATTTAACTAATACTAGTGACATCTGTATTAGAATGAAAAAAAACATATTCAGTAGGTGTTTTATGCTTTCAACATGCGAATGTCTTGATGAATTATTTACTTTAAAATATATCAAAGAACAAAAACATTACCTATGGAATAGCTCACTCAATTTATGTATTTTAAGATAAATTAAAACGAACAAATTATATATTTTCTAAATAATCTATGAATTCATAAAAATATTCTAATTATTAAACAGAAAAAAAGATTGATGAAAAAATACGATGGTTCCAAAGTGTAGCAAGTATTTGCCCCATCCAACTGCTAAATTTAAAAAAAAACAGTGACTGAACTAAATAAACCTTACATGATTCTTCTTGTGCTGTAGTAACAAGGTATTCAAACGCACAGTTTATTCAAATCCTCCTAAATAAAATCCAGGTCGTGTTTGTTATGTATAAGCAACTGTTCCCACTGTACTTTAGTTTAAATATGTCAGCTAATAGTTAGTATTATGAAACGCCCTATATTTAGATGTATCATCAAGCTCTATCAGAAGTTCAAAAACTTGAGGTTGCTCTATTTCCTTATCTGACATACATATTTTGACCTTCACTTATGGTTTTGTGATATACCTAGAACGAGATATAGAATGAACCTACCTTACTTTAATTGTTTAAGACATTATTTCCTACAAGACACTTTCTAATGTTACATAACATTAGCAGAAGGAATGTCGTTGGACAAATTTTGTTTGAATACTATTTGAAATACTACACTAAAATTTTGTTTGTTTGATATATGCATACATATCATTTGTAAGGCATGTTAGCAATTATAATGGTAATAACTGCCCTTCCCTTCAGCTAAACAAGAGTGACACTTTTCAATAGTTAAGTTTATTTTTGCACATAGAAGATCAAATGTGAAAAATGCTTCACACCAATTCATAAACGTTCGAGCTTTACTCTAAATTACCCTTAATTTTTAACCATTCTTGTTCCGATCAGAGTGTTGTTAACGCAATTTCAGTTCTAAATATAATATGCAAGTCTAGTACATGTTAATGTACCTTCAAAATCACAAAATAGGTCAAAAGAGTGCCAAATAAAGCAATACATTGACGTAAATCATAAATGCTTCACATCAAATCATCATTTCCAATTGTTATTCTGCATCGTTTTGTAACCATGCTTTGAATGTTGAACAAAATACGACTTTTTGAGATAGAAACGATGGTACCAGGGAAAGAGAAAATTGTGCGCTTTGCACTGATTTGATTTGTTACTTTTAAATAAGAGAACTAGCCTGGAAAATATTAATTACTAGGGATGTCCGGAAAGTTCATATACATCTTCATTTTTTATTGTATAACAATACATACGCTGTACAAATTGTGTCAGCAAAAATATGCATATCTAGCGAACACATTTCTAAAAAATTATTGAACTGTGACTTACGTTTGTATTTTATCAGTATTTACATACAACATATATACAGCGTCATGGAGCACTTTGACAGCGTCAACGGCGTCAAATTAACTTCATGTTTACCAACTATTCAATTTCTTCCGATTTAACAGCCATAGTACCTCTCTGGCGTATACTTAATACATGTTATGTTCCTTTGCTATTACTTCATGAATTTCATATTTAAAATTATTATTCAAAATCAAATATGTCACTGGTTCCCATACAGTGTGTGACATTGTAACGCAATCTACGATATTTCGGCCATGCTACTTTTGGTCGTCTGGAGCGTTTCTTATACGACATCATGTCATCACCGCTTCTTAATCATGTTTAATACTTAAACACAAATTGTCTTTAACATTTTATGGTTGATTTAGTTTTTAAAGTAAAGATTAAAATCTCAGTTGGTACCAATATTAGCGTTGCTATGAAGTTAAATATCATTACGTTGCTCCATCCATGAATTTGACGTCATTTTTGCAACACAAAATTTACGCACCTTCAATGCCTATTAGCGTCTTTTACAAGCTGTTTGTTTACGTATGACGTCATTATTTACACTAAATACCATGTAATAGTATCCTATGATGCCACAAAATTAAAAAATAGAGTTTGCGTTAAAATTACAACTTTTAGCAACTTATTATTCGAGAAGCTATCGTTATGAAATCAAAGTGCTCCGTGATTCGTTGATCATGTTGCCATGGTGATTGGCGATTTGCGAATACAACTTTTATCATGTTTTTAATATAGACATTTGTAACAGAATAAATACTTTAGCAAAATATTCAATCATCATATTGATATGACTGTGTATGATAATTTTATAGCCTTGTCTACGAACTTTCCGGACACCCCTCATAGTATAGGTATGTATGCAGCCATTCCACTCCATATCATTTCTGATGTCACCTTGGGATGGCCACCTGGATTTTGGGCAATTTTCTTACTTAACGTGAATATGCTGAGAGAGCCTAAACTTGTATTGCAATTTAACATTTCGTATCCAAATCAGCAAGCACTAGTAGCATCGACCTATTTAAAGAAATATGAAATGAAAACCAGCAAATCTGCCATTCAGATGTTAATGAGAGCAATCATTTTTGTATCATATTAGTTAACTTTTGGTTAGTACATCCGTTCAAAGTTTTATCGTTGCTAAAGGTAAGGTTTTTATTCTATATAGTGCTTTCCCATATTATTTTAAGGCTCGTATGCGATACTCAGTCATATATAACAAAACCATGTATATTTTATAATGTTTGTTTCTTTGGTTTTCGTTGGGGGCACACGATTTTTTGCTTGTGGACCATACGCCGTTTTTTATGGAGTGTCACATTAAAGGCCCTATGACAACCGCCGTAAGAACACATCTGTGGATGTTTCTAGATTCAAAATTCACCATTTGTATTGTTTAGCCTCTGACATCGGCGGCTTGTCTTCCCGTTTTTGATTCGGAGCCTTCTGGATGCCATGCTGGCGAGGCTGGCTTGTGTCGGGACTAGGTTCTGTGAACGTCGCCTTGGCTTGTTGATCTTTGTTCTCATTTTACAAGCAGATTTCAACATTTATACACAAAAATGGTGAAATGGGACAACATATCCTACATGTTATTGTACAATTTTTTCACCAACTGGATTAATCATCCAAGCATAATTATTTGATATTGCATCTGATGATATTTATAAAAATTAGTAATATTAAAGCCTAAAGATTAAGACCTTAACATAAACTTAAAATGGCATGTTTCTTTTCAGGGTTTTTTTTTGTGTTTTGTCTCATTAAGACCTTTTCTTAGAATTATATTACTATTTCGAATATGGCAATTTTCGGATTTTGGACTTAAAATGTGAAATTTTATGACTCAAAGTACTGTTTAAAGTCTTTCATAAAAGACGGTACGCTGCTGAAGATATTACTGTTATAACCGTAGAGCTCTTGACAACATAAATAACAGTGCTACAGATTGAGACTGATCTTCTATCAGCTTCAGAAAGGACGGGGAGAGAGGCGTGTCTTCCTAGGAGGGAGAAGGGCGAATATATCTCTTTGAACACCCATTATGCACTCCCCATTGCATTACAAGGCCGTGTATTGCCCGAGCATGTTTACATTCTACATATTGTCAATTTAATATTCATTGCATCGGTTTTATGTTAAATGAATGTTAATAACTAGAGATTTTGGGTCACATAAATAATCATAGATAAAAATATACATATGTGGTGATGATACACAATTATGATTTTATGTTAAGGTAAATATATAGATATTTTTGACTTAGCCATTAGGTTTTGACCTCAGGAGAAGTATTTAAACATAATGTTGCATCTTATTTGTTAAAAATTATTAGACCTTTACATTCAACAGGTAAACTGTAACTTTAATTCACTTTTTAATTTTTCTCGTAAATTGTATATGAAATGACCTTAAACATCCCTTTTTATGTAATCTAAATAATGCATTTGTCAATATGAAAATGAAAACTGTATACGTTTGAACTGAACTAAAAAGGTAAAACTGGAAATATACCGGTTTATTATATCATAATTGACAAAACACTATTTGATGTCATTGAAAAAAGAGTTTTTTTAATGGGAGTTTTGTTCTAATTTTATTAATCAACAAAACATTGTTGAATTAGATATATATCTTTACAAAATCAACAGAACTGCAAGAAACAAAACGATCAATAATTTTTTTGGAGAGGAAAAGAAATCATTTATGAAAAGAATCAAACTGTATGTGCAGCATGCGTCAAATTATCCATTATGAGGTGCGTGTGTTGCTGAAAAATAGAAAAGAAGCAAACAGTGTTCAATAAGTATGTTTTGTTTTCATTTTGATGTAGTCCTTGTTTTAGACCAATGCATTGTAGGTGAGAAAATAGTCGCCCTAGTACAGTAACGGGTTAACTTAAATAATGTAAGTGATTAACCAGTTACTGCACTAAGGTGCCGAAATGTGATCTATAAATGTGAAAAGTACCAATTATTTATAATAGAAGGAAGTTATGATCGTTAAGATATATTTAATTTTATCTATGAAATGATTTTTTTTAATTACATATAGTTCATGTGTCAGACGTTATCAATATTTTAATAAGACGGACGACAATGTTTAAGAGAGTTTGAGGCTTTTCCATCTTTTTCTGTGACAATCTCTAAGGTAAAAGACAAAATAAGAAGTGCATGGAAAATTATAGAAATGTAAACGTTATCTTACGGTATTGGCAGATATAGGGACGGACAACGTTGATGTTGTTGCTGTTCACAAGGAAGCGTCGGCTGAACCCGTTATGAGAGCATAATACATCGTCCCATTTTCCATTCAGTAATAGCATCACACACAATCTTCTTGTCCATGAGGTAAATGGTTACTCTTTCTATTAGGAGTCCAGTTAGTATAGGTAACTTTTGTTCCTAAAATAATATAAAACAATACACAGTACTTGTTGCATTTCTTTTTGCTTAAAACGTGTTGATAGTGATGTTATTTCTTACTTCTTGTCTTAATAAGTCGGTTAAAGCATTCTTGGAAACTCAGGCTTCTAGACACCATCAATTAGTAATGTGGTTATGCATTATACGTGGGTTTCCAACGATGAATTAGTAAGAGATGTCGTCGAATAATGTTATAATAGTATTTACTTAAGTTAGTGCGCTCATATTCCTGTTAAAGAACGAAATAATTACCAAATGACCATCATGAACACATTTCTAGCGCAAACAACCGGCAAGGAGTTATTGATGAAAAATCTTATTTGCATTATATATTGTTTAGATTTAGAATAAAGAAGGCCTTTGCATTGTAAATTACATTGATTCGTGCTAGAAGTGATTATTTTGTTGTAATGAGAGCAGAATACCAAGGTCTGAGTGACCCGCGTGTATAGTCCTCACCTTTACAAGGTTAACAGATAAGAAGATCAATTAATATGACTAATTGGTTTTAATTTTCAACATTAAAATTTGATACCAGAATCCCACATGAAATGTTCCTCTCTATCAATATCTTCTAGTCCGATCCACAAATATCTCTGGTTATTTACTTCTCGTAGAAAATTCATTATGTAATTTTGAATGTCCTCTGTGTAAATTTCTAGCAGTTCCCCGCCATGTCCAATCCTGTTCCAGCAGTCGTTCTCTGCCCCGTGCCAGTTCTGGTTTCATTAAAGGCACATTATCATGCTCCACAATTTTATTTTTCAAAAGCTATTTTAATGTACATGTACTTATATAGTTGCTTAAATGTTACTAATCGGCCAATTACCATTACAATTTTTTTCTTCTGTTGTAATTTGGCAATTTGGCAATTAATACAGCTAAAAACGTTATTGTCGTTTGTACGAAGTCAAAATACTACTTTAATAACATTTTGCTACTTTAATGACAAATGATTCTACATTAAGTGCTACTTCATGAGACAATAAGCACTTTACATGCCCAGAAACCATTATCAAAGGTTATTAAATTCATGTGTGCCATTTCTTAACAAGTCTCAAATTTAATTCATTTTTGAGGTATAATGTGCCTTTCAATTAAAACTACAAGTCATTCCGGTGAAAAAAAAACTACAAGTGGCCCTTTCGTGCATCTTAAAGGCAAAAGCGGGCACCTGAACAGAACCGTATGTAGCTATGTAACCAATGTACAACTTAAACACAGAAAAATTGGTTCATTAACGAGTCAACTGCTTATAGTTCGCATGAAATATGAAATACATTGTACTAAGTAGATTTCATTAAAGTCAATAAACCGATTTAAATACAAGCAAAACATGGTCACAGCACGACCAAAACTTAACTTGCACAGAACCTTTCATCATTTGATATTTGTTTATATCTGTCCAAAAAAGGGGATAACGATTTATTCAGCTTGTCGACTTTCTCTGAATCCTCGATACAACACAACCACATTGGACACCCAGGAGGCACCGAACCAAAATAGGAGAGACAGAAAGGCGAAGAAAGGAGGATAGGGTCGTGCATATAACTGTTGCAATTAGAAACTTGATAAGTGAAATGATTAAAGATATGGCTGATGAACCTTGAAATAACAATCTTTAAAAGCATCACCTTTGATGTGTGGACAAGCTCGTAACAATGATTTCCGTACTGTCTCAACAACGTATGATCGACGGATCGTCTAAGAAGGCCTGGGCATAAATTTAAGTTTCCATGAGCTAGAAAAATAAACAAAATACATCTGAATAAAAAATAGATCTGGTAGTTTCCACTACAATTATGACATATTGTACTTAAATATGTGTAATTGGTACGTCTCGTGATGGTATCGAGAGATTAAAATGCACAATTAGTTTCGACTTGAAACCATCTTAAAACATATGGATGTGTTTTTCCAGCTTAGTTTCGTACTAGCCTTCAATAGTTAATTTACAACATATTTTAAATAATTATCGGATTTTTACGTCACGGGATATATTTCAACAATCCGTTTTCAAAATATTTCCAATAGAACCTAGTCTAATCTTTTATTGATCAGCTTGGTTGGAATAGAAAAATATTCTCAGATCGTACAGTGTAGTGTTCTGAATAAAAAAAACTATATTACATAAAGAAAGAAATGCTTACAATAAGTTGAATGATAACTTGTTTGGTAATAATCTGTCGTAAAAGGTGGATGAGTTACATTCCAATGAATGAGCCAGTCTGTAGAATAGTGATGCGGTTTCTTGGTTGAATGGTAATAATTCTTAGTATGTGGATACTCAGTGGTATAAGGTTGATGTGTTATATTCCAATGAATGAGCCAGTCAGTTGTTCTTGTCCAACTAGCAGTCGGTTGTGATGTGAAATCTTGCGTGGTTCTCTGTGTAGTGCGTGTAGCTGCTTTAGTTGTGGCGCTGTTAGTGAACGGTGTAGATATTAAAGTGGATAACTTTGTTGTTTGTGTAGAGGTTGATCTTGTAGTTTGGGGTTTAAATGTGCTAGATGGTCTTGTAGACGGTTCTGTCGTGCTAGTTGTCATTTCAAGTTTTTTGGAAGTCACAGTAGTTGTTGTCTTCAACATTGTAGCCGTTATCTCCCTTGTAGAGGCGCTCGTTGGTAATTGCGTTGTAGAAGCTGTGCTTGTGACCGGAAGTAGAGTTGTTGGAAACACTTAAATGGAACCAAATTTATAAGTTAACAAGAAAAATTCATATATATGACTAAAAATTATTTTGTTCTGCAATACATTAAAAACATATTTATCTACACATGTAGCTTGTAATAGAGATTACAGGCAATTTAGTGCAATTTAGAGTAGAGATTCATCACATGATCTTTGTATATGTTAGTGTTCATCCGTGCTGTTCTAAATTCTGTAGAACAGCTACGGATGAACTCTAACATACTTAGTGTCAAGCTTTATTTGGCTTCACAGATATTCACTTTATTACGTCACGACTATTTTACGAACGCAGTTCTATGAAGCAGTATGAAAAATAACAGTTGACTATGAACTGAATTTGTTTTTGAAAATTAACACAGAGAAATTCTAAAGAATATAACTTTTTCATTGGATGACAAATAAAGCTGCCCTCATAGTGATTTATTACAGTAGTTACTTGTTTGTTCACTGTGGTATTAGAACCGAATGATTTACAAATATCAGACCTTTCAAACTATGTTGTAAAAAGGTTAGCGGCACCAGTCATCACGTCATTTTGATAGGAGGGCATTTTCTCAAAAAAAATTGCTAATACTGCGTGAACATGTTTCATAATGGAACTTTAATGCTTACCTTTGTGAAAGAAAAACTTCCGTAGCGCATATTTGTAAATTAACTTATCTACGCATGTATAATACGAATTAACATTCATGACCTAGCTGTTGGCAGTTTTAAACAAGAAATTTGGGTGTAAATTTTTGAATATATTAATAAGAAAAATGCTGATGATTCGTACTGCAAAGGCAAACAAATGGAACCCGCTAAATGCTTCGACTCCGTTGTTCACACCGAGCGGCAAAAACAATGTAGCGTGCACTCGACCGTACAAGGATATCCTGCAGTAACATTGCTTGCTCGCTTCTTCCACAACGTGCTCCTCTTAATAGGGCTTATATGATTTGTATTTAAAAATATCAATCATGCAAATGCAAGCTTACACTTGTCTTCTGATGGTATGCTACCAGCGCAGAGTTGAACCTGCAACCCGCTGTCCTTATGCACATAGGCGACCTGTTTGAAAAAAGGAACATGCACTAAGAAACAATAAAGTTCCCAATTCCTTTTTATATGTGGCTGACGCGGACGGTTTTATCATGTCGGACAAAAAATACTATCACCGGGTAGATTGTAGGAAGTACAAATAGTTTTATGTAAAAATGATTGTTTTTATGCCCAAAGAAATTGTCAAAGTCTCATCTCTATCATTTGATTAAGAAAATGGTTTTTAAAAAAGAACATTTGCTACTAGCCGTTTGTTGTAACTAAACATTTTTTCTCACTGTAAAATGAATGTTTTAATGAAGATTTATTATTGCTGCAAACAAAACTTTTTTGATAATTTGAATTTAATTATATGAACAGACACAATTTAAAGTGAATTACATAAATTACATAAATATAATACATGTATTAAAGGTTATCATATATGTACACTGCAGAGTACAATACTGAATACTATTGAACGAGTACCTAAGTGATAGATGAGGGGTTTATTTCACCAACACACAATTTGACAGAACTTGTAACATGTATTAGGTTTTTGATTCCATATAAAATTTTGGACTCAGCAAATTTGAACGGGACTAAACGGACTGCATTCAAAATTTGATATGGATTGCTTTGACATAGGAAATGAAAATGAGGTCAGACGGAGTACAATGACTATGTGACATGTATTTTTTAATTCCGGAAAAGCGGCTAAATTGATAAGAATGGTTTCAATAATAATTTATATCTGAAGATCATGCGATGCAAACGCTGAAGGTTTAAGAAAATATGGTGTAAGGACAAGGACATATGTTGTTAGTATTAGGGGACATTGTGTGAGGTAAAGGGGATGTGGTGTTATCAACAGGGCGCATGGTGCTATCACAAAGAGTTAGGAGATGGAACTGTTGTTTTAACAAGCTATATACAATATGAACTGTATGTCACAAATATGGAGTAACAATAAATAAGTATATGTTCTAAAATTCATATTTTCTTTGCAAATTAGTCACTCATTGAAGATTATCTTTTCAGAGGCGTTCGAATGTTGCTATATCAGTCCTTTACGTATTAAAGCGATGCTTGCAAAAGCAAAATAAATAGCAGGGAAAACATACAGCATGTTCGTTCATGACCGCAAACCATGTTTCCTGTGTGTCACCTTTAGATATAGCCGGCTTGCAGTCAAATTCATACATGTAGGCAACTGGACTAGAATTTTCATTTTGTTGTCCAAACAAAGGCGTCTCTACACGATAATTGCATAGACAGTCATAGTCTGCATAAACTTTGACTCGAAGAACGCATGTTACTACACAGAGTATGAAAAGTTTCATCCTGAAAGTGAAAATTAGGTATGTTGCATGAATGTTTTACATAAAGGTCTTCTATCATAGTTTGGGGACTGTTCTGTTGAAAATGCACCAGAGTTAAATCGTATACACATAAATGCACAGTGCATTAACTAGAATGCATGTATTAATTACCCGCACTTCACAGCATGCTCATTGATTGGCTCATATTTTCTGGGGTTCACTTTATACAGACAACGGAAAAGGATAACGATAGAAATATCACATTCAGATGTTAGTGCATTTGTTACTTTTTTCTGGGGTTTCATACAGAGAACGTGTTTTCATTTTCGCTTCTGATACAAAAAAGGAAGAACAGCAAAACACTCGTATATCTGATTTATACGAGGGCGTGATCAGATAGCCTCGTGTTTTTATGGTATTTCTACTACATAGAAGATTGATTAACAATTTATGCATTGTGATACGTTACAGACAATTTTAGGCGGAATGAGTTTATTTATGTTAGTTGCCAAATGTTTAAGAAATTTGGGTAATGACCTAGTGAATTATAGTGAATTCATGGACAGATTTTGATCATTTTTCATGGACCTGAGAGTTAGGTTTATTTTGGTACTTCATTGATTTTTCAGTAATTAAACTACATTTGTGGGAAAGACAAGACACGCAAGCTCATCAATGATATTTCTGATATAAAAGGGGTGTCACCAGACACGTTTATGATACCTTTTGTTTGACTTTCGCCTGATTAGATGCATAAAATAAAGAAAAACAGAATCTTAAGAACGCACAAAACAACAGAACTGAAATTTTGCAAACTCGGTCTGACTAGGTCCGCCCATGGACGGCACCGGAAAGTGCAAGCCACCGTCCACGCCCCCCCCCCCCAGCACCGGCCTAGGTCGCGATTATTCTGACGAGTAACGCTTCTTTTGTTTGACATAAGCAGTCCTTTTGATGACGTATTCCTGTGTGAGAATAATAAAATTTTCGTGCTTATAGAACTTTTTCAGGACCCTGTGTTTCACACAATCTTTTCTTTTTTTTAATCAGAGTTTACATGATCACATCCGTGTTATTTGTGCCGTGTGGCGGCTGTAAAAAGTCTCCCATTACATTTAATCAATGATGTTATATTTTCGATCCTTGAAGATCGTTCAGCACGACATTATTGTTGTGCTTGTGGTATTTTTAGTTTCAACTTTTCGGCATTTTCTAGTTGGGTGGTTCCAATATTCCTACTTGAATAATGTTGAATCACCCTTAGGATATGTTGCCTGCTTTTTAAATTTGTCTGTTGACGTCTTATCTGTGATACGCAGGCTTCATAACCTCTGATCCCCTTTCAAAATTCCATTTTATTTAGTTCCGCCCATTGTTTTCTCGTTTAGGGCACACGCATTCTTTTACTTGGGGACCATACACCGCTTTTCATGGAATGGCACGGAAGTGTCACATTGAAGGTTCCATGATTACCGCCGTATGAACACATCTGCGGATGTTTCTAAATTCAAAATTTTACTATTTCACGTTTAAATGTTGAATTCTGCTTAAGCCGGTGCTAGGGGGCGTGGACGGTAACTTGCACTTTCCAGTACCGTCCATGAACAGGCTCAATCAAACCGAGCCTGCAACATTTTCAATTTTGCCGTGTTGGGCTTTCTTTAGGGACTCTGTATTTATCTATTTTATCTTAACTGATCTAAAAGTTAAATATGAAAGGAAAATATTACGGTATATTTGTAGACCTCTGTAGTATACTAGTATATTTAATAAATAAATCAACCGGTAATATAACCCCTCCTTTTTGACCGGAGTATGTATTATCAAAATATTGCTCTTTTTTAGTCTTTTAAGGCATAAATTGAAGCAAAGAAATGTATAAATATATCGTCTAACTTACTTGCTTTACTCCATATATTAACACTCTTTTCAACTTTTCTTATCTTAAAGTCTCAATGTAAACATTCTAGAGTTACGTCAACGCCGAAAACACTGCAAAGTTCAGGTCTTTGAAAATGATTTTGTATGTAGTATTATCTTATCTTTACATTATATTTTATATGGCAGCAGGCAGGAAACAATACGGTTTCACATGGTTTACGATATTAATATTTTACTGGTGTGTGTAATATTGTTTGTCAATATTGACCCAAAGCTGATTAATTTTCGTATTTCGGTATTACTCCGGAATACGATAATCACCGACAAAAGGTCATATTGATGAATATTCAAATGTCTCAGGTCAATATTGCCACAAACAAAATACGCAGAACACAAATTATAGTGAACTATTATATAAATACCGGGGGTCTTTTATCCGCTCCTTATGCCGTTACCATATATTGTGATATACGAGGGTTGTCCCAAAAGTCCGTGACAAATTTTATAGCCGGTTCATTTTTAATGCCAATAGAAAATAATTCACACATATAACCGTTAAGTTTATAATTTAACATTACAACAAATCATTTACCAAAAATTTACCCTAGTTACTTAGAAGTTTTCAGTATAGACGACATTGGTTTGAGTTGCCGGTGTAACGTTGTAAAGTGACCCCCATAGAATAATGACCCCCCGGTCATTATTTTATATAAAATAATGACCCCTTTCTATAAAATACTGACTCCCCTTATAAAATAATGACCCCCCGATTTAATCTGTAAAATATTGACCCCCACCCCACTTAGCCTGTTACTAACATATCTATATCAATTCAAGTTACTGTCGTGTTTCTATGGCTTTTATATATGTTGTTGTTGTTGTTTTTTCTTCTGGAGCCGCTGCATGTTACTGCTGCAGAAGCTGCTGTGTCTACATCTATTGAAATGAAATATAAAATTGCTTCCATTTGAATTTCATTTAAATTATCATCATTGTAATACAATATACATAAGTCGCTTTAACGTATATGATTCAACTTCAAAGACAACATTGTTCTACTTCATCTGACGTTAGATAACCTTTGTTCATACCGTGGAGGCATTGCTTAAAGGGGCTACACTGAGGTATGACAGGTAATTTGGTGTCCAAAAAAAATGTAAACAAATTTCCTCACAAATCACAATATTATGACTAAAATAACAATAACTTACACTTTAATCAACCCTCTAACAACAATTATGCTAGAAAATGCATTTTCACATCAGCTTTTGATGCAAAAATGAAAGTTGGTTTTCCCAGACATGTACAGAAGTTACCCACAATTCATTGGGTATGACTAAAATACGCAACGGACATTTTTGGAACAACAGAGTAAACGGGGGTAAAAAAAGTCTATTGATTTTTTCTCAACACTTTAACCTATCATGTTTATATAACTTGAGTATAACGAAGAAAAACTGTATAAAAGATAATCAAGGTAGCAATTTCGTTGTCTTTAAAAATCAAACGCCAGCGAAGCGGACATTTTCTAAACAAAACGGAAAGATATTATATACATTTACAATTATTTTCATTGACATTTCAGTTTCAATTTCAATATTCTAAGGCAAACATAATGCATCGGTGATATTTATACTATAACGAGCACAGTGTAATCACACTAATAAAAGTATTAAACGCTATCTATAACGTATTTAAATCAAATACAGTTAATGACATGTCTCATTTGATTTGATTGTTTGTTTTTGGGATGGAGTGGGGGTTACGTCACACAAAACTGTGTAGGTCATTTTGGCGACTCTTCAGTTTTACTGGTGGAGTAAGAACTCAGGTGCTACCTTTGCAAAATTGTTTCTGGCACAAACGGGCATCTGTGTATGTAATGAGTGACGTTTCGTAGGCTATCTTGATAGGATCGTACATACACGTTCCACACACAATTACATCATATTCATATCATAGGCAAAATTAAATGCACGTTCCCTGTTGTAACAATATGAAACCCCAGAAAAAAACCTATGAACCAGCTTCTGAATGTGGCATTTCTATCGTTATTCCAAAAAAAGCACCCCCCCCCCCCCAAAAAAAAAAAGAATGAGTACATCAATGGGCATGCTGTGGAGTGTTGGGGGAACTATTACCTGCACTCCAGTTACGCACTGTACATGTGCATGTAACTCTGACACGTTTTCAACAGAAAAGTCTTCAAACTAAGATACAATAAATGTTTATGATTCTATTAGAAACTTGTTTAGAATTTAATGATTTTTCGGTGAAAACGATATAGTTTACTTGTACTACAGGTAAGATCAAAGTGCTGAAGGCACTGAAGAAAAACCCGGCTAAACTTACACATTTTCACTCGAGTTTCACAGGTAAATTAATTTTATATGTCGCGGTTTACATCTTAATATCAGCTAACCTTTGCTTTTTGAGACTTTTGTTTTTGAAAATAATCTAAACGAGTAAAATAAACCCTCTTTTATGGGCAAATAATTTAATAAGTAGCATACCCGATTTCTCTTTCATAAATTGGCTTTAGCAAACTCTTTTCTATTCAAATATTAAGAACATTCTGTCAGTGACGTGTCTTCTACTTGAAATCTTCCTCGTGTGTATTTTTCGGTAACAGGAAGAAAATGACAGTCTGTTCGTATCTTTCGGTAACAGGAAGAAAATGACAGTCTGTTCATTTGATCATGACTGTGAAAAATCATGTTTTGTGAACCAATTTATCCTGCCGATAAAGATTTTGCAAGCAATCTGGTGGTTTATGTTCTTGTGCTTACACTAAGTATTTAATTCCAAAGAACATTTCTTAGGAGACCTTTAACGTTTGATTACGGTATAATCACTATAACCAAAATACTTAAGAATTAATTTTAATTCCTGTTACTGTGAAATTTTTTTGTTCAAGTGTTTAAAATACTTAAGTAGCTCTATAATTTTTCGAAACGATATCCAGTATTTCCGAAACAATTTACAAAGGCTTTTAATACACAATCTTATAAATCTTAAAGTATTACGAGAACCACCCACCTAATCTCCAGAACATACATACGAAAAACAAGATAAATCAAAAGGCTGCAAGCTCTGTGGTATTTTCTGATTCTTGCAATCTAAATCGCAGTGTATAACTGTTATATTTTCCTGTATAAGTTTATTTTTATGTACTATAATTCTTCTTGCTTGGTACCAGAGTTGGATACATATGGAATTTTGCATGACTAGAGTTGCATCAAAAAATCATTTATGTTCATTTTTATGACGGCCACATTTTATCCTTGCATATCGTGGCTATTTCCTTAACAAAGAAACTTTATAAAAAATAATTGCCTTGAATTTGATTTGAACCCCTGACACACTAAACGAGCGCGTTACCCTTGCACCACGGAGAAGATATACAAACAATGCCTGAATAAAATCAAGTAATACTAAATTTAGATTTTCCATTGCATTTCGGGTTAATTTCGAGGTTTTTGTTCAAGATTAACCTGTTGTATAACATTGATGTAAATAATTTAACAACTAGAAATGTGTCATCATGCCACGAATGCCCCCGCATGCAGCCAAAATTTCAAATGTTATAATATTTAGTTCCAAATTTGTTTGCACAAAAAAAAAAAATATTTTTTTCATTCTAAGTTCAAAACTTTTCAATGTTAACACAAACCATTTTTATACAATGTTCAAGGCACTGAAATTTAATTCAGTCTTAACCTTTTAAAAATAGCATATTGCATATTTGTAGCCAACATAATGGCTATATACATTTCCACAAAAGTATGAGTGCTGAAACTGAAAGTTCAAAATTTTTCCAACATTCAGGAAAGATAAGTTTGTCCAAAATCATTGAACCACGACCAAATTCAAACTTTAAACTGCTTATTCCTAAGATGTATCTATATTATTTTCAAAGTGAAAGGGACATAACTCTGCCAAAAAATCATCGAACCATGACCAAATTCCAACTTGACCTGCGCATTCCTTTGACATATCCATATGTCAATTTTGAGTTGAATATGTAACACTGTTGGGTTGATAATGAACAGAAACTGTAAATTTCATATCATTTTCAAAGTGAAAGGGGCATTACTCTGCCAAAAATCATTGAACCATGACCAGATTCAAACTTGGTCTGCGCATTCCAAAAACAGATCCATATGTCAAATTTGAGTTGAATGTGTAATATTGTTGGGGAGATAATAAACGGAAACTGAAAATTTCATATTATTTTTAAAGTGAAGGGGCATAACTCTGCCAAAAATCATCCAACCATGACCAAATTTGAAATTGACCTGCGCATTCCTTTGACGTATCAATATGTCAAATTTGAGTTGAATGTTTAATACTGTTGGGGAGATAATAAACGGAAACTGAAAATTTCATATTATTTTCAAAGTAAAAGGGGCATAACTCTGCCAAAAATCATCGAACCATGACCAAATTTGAACTTGACCTGCGCATTCGTTTGACGTATTGATATGTCAAGTTTGAGCTGAATGTGTTGTACGATTGGGGAGATAATGAATGGAAACTGAAAATTTCATATTATTTTCAAAGTGAAAGGGGCATAACTCTGCCAAAAATCATCGAACCATGACCAAATTTGAACTTCACCTGCGCATTCCTTTGAACGTATCCATATGTCAAGTTTAAGTTGAATGTGTTGTACCATTGGGGAGTTAATGAACGGAAACTGAAAATTTCATATTATTTTCAAAGTAAAAGGGGCATAACTCTGCCAAAAATCATCCAACCATGACCAAATTTGTACTTGACCTGTATTTTCTCATGACATATCAATATGTCAAGTTTGAGTTGAATATGTTGTACCGTTGGGGAGATAATGAACGGAAACTGAAAATTTCATATTATTTTCAAAGTAAAAGGGGCATAACTCTGCCAAAAATCATCCAACCATGACCAATTTCGAACTTGACCTGTATTTTCTAATGACATATCCATATGTCAAGTTTGAATTGAATGTTTTGTACCGTTTGGGAGATAATGAACGGAAACTGAAAATTTCATATTATTTTCAATGTAAAAGGGGCATAACTCTGCCAAAAATCATCGAACCATGACCAATTTCGAACTTGACCTGTATTTTCTCATGACATATCCATATGTCAAATTTGAGTTCAATATGTGCAACG